ATATGCAAAATTCTTTTAGGCTCTTTAGTCTGGGTTTCTCAAAGTACGATCTTCTAAGGAACTGCATTTGAAATATCTAAGATGTTTGGTAAGATTACAGATTTTCAAGTCACACTTCAGATGTATTAAATCACAATCTCTCTGGATAGGGCCTGACATCTACTATTTAATACTCTTTCCAGATGATTCTTATCACACTAAAGTTTGAGGACCACTTTGGCTCTATGATCTCCAAAGTAGTGGGTACTTCCTCAACATTTGTAATAATCTACCGGAATTGGAACTTCTTAATTATGTATTTTTAATCTAAAAAATAAAAAAGAAAATTTTGCTCATATTTAATATTTTGCTTGGTCCAGGCACCCTGCTGTGAAGTAACCTGAAGGAAGAATAAATTCTACATCAAAGAGGGTTTGATGATCTCACCCTCCCACATTCATTGACTGGCAGCCTTTGTGGGCAATTCCAGCTGCTTACTTTGGAATGTCATCCTGCAATTGCATTTATAAAAACAGGAATATTAACAGTAGAATAGTTATAATATTCTGTAACGATATGAGCAGTAACCAGAAAATTCTTTTCTGCCACAACAGGTCCACTGGTTAGTGCAAGCCAAGTACTTAAGAAGATTTGCCAAGTTAAATATGATTTCAGCACTACTCTTGTATAAAAATAAAACTTCCTAAATTGCTTACCTTTCCTGGATAAGTGGCCTTCAATAATCTGTATCTAGCAAATATTTTGACAAAGTAAACATACTTAATAAATCTTTTCATGATAAAGTTGACGTTTTAACAATGTTGAGAGACCAACTTGTTTTCAGAATAAAATGGAACATTTTGAAAATGAACGCTTGGGAAAGGTTTCCTGCTTAAGTGATTTTCTTGCTAAAAATGATGAATGTGACTATCACATAAAACTCTCACACCGTCACACTCAAAAATTTAGAAACAATTCCCTAATGTGTTTTCAAATTTTGCAAATAAGAAAGCTGAGATGATTTCATAACTATTTTGTTTTAATATAGAACATCTCTTAATTGGTTTGTCAGAAAAAGGTATTGATATCAAGGAATATGGAAATTTAATACTTTTTAATTTAAAACCTTAAAAAATTGGTAGATGAATTTTTCCATGAATTCCATGGTTAAACGTAACCAATGATACATTTCTTTCCTCTGTTTCGATTCATCTTTGTGAGGCACCTTTATCAGCTGTGACACTTTTTAAAAGCAAATACCGAAATAAACTAACCTTAGAATTAGACCTTCAGATAACTGGATCACAAGGTGTTAAACCAAGTTTTTCAAAAGGAATGAAACACATTCAACTATATTTCTATTAATAATGATACTAGCATTTTAAGTAAAAGCAAGAAGTTTGTTATACATTAAAAATTTTTTAATTTTTAAATATTTAAATATTTAATTTTACTTGTGCTTTAAATTTCCATTTTTGTATACTTTTTATAATGTATATTAAGACACTATAACATTTAAAAATAAATAAAAGATACACAATTTGGAGAAGTGTGCTTTAAAATGTTTTACTGATAAGAGAGGCAATTTAGAAAATGTGGAAATTATTGCTTCAGATGGTGACATTTTAGTTGGCATAGCTATATTTTCCAGCTAAATTAAAATTCATAGAGAAAGAGCAGAAATTCTCTTTCCCAAGCCATTCAATATAAAACCATCTTGTTTACATGTCAGTGACTTGGTGACGTTTATGTTGATGAGATTTCATCATGGACCCTTTAACATGCATAATATCCCATGTATTCAGTTCAGCTTTCCCACACCTCTGATTTCTCCATGGCTGAGGAACCTGGTCCCACAAAACACTGACTTGCCTACTTCTGTTCTGTAGAGATAACAGTTTATCTGTGCTGTGATAATCATATCTGTGTGAAATTCCTTTTCAAATCTATGGCCTCCAACGGTTTCAGGGAAGAAAAAATCCATAAGCTGTCCAAAAACCTTTTGATTTAGATCAAAGTCTCAAGAACTGTTGAGCCCAATTTAAGTTTTTGTAGCGCCACGTTTTCAAGCATCCAAGATACACTTTGCTAAAACTGTTTTCGCTTTGTTTCTCCCAAAACACCTATGTACATTTATAGCTATCTCCTTTACGAACTATAAACTTTCTCTCACTTATAGGTTTGGGTTTTTCTCCAGAGGCGAACAACACTCGAGAATAGTCTCCCTACCTGTGTGTCTATTGACAAGATTTTAAACAGAAAAATAAGTGTGAACAGGTGTAACTTTAATGGGAAAAAATTCACAAACGGCACAAGAGCCTAGCTACTCCTTTGTGTTGGTGCTAGTAGGGATAGATTATGCCTGTAGTTTCTGCAGACATGAGGCTCAGGATTTTTCTAGCACCTATAGGAGGATTTGATTATAGAAACACAGGTGTGGGATTCACAAAATGGGCATTTGATGGTTCACACTCTGTCCGTCACGTTTAGCTGTAATTTTCTTCTCTGATTCTTCATATATAAAGGAGGGGTACAAAAAATCTAACTTACAAGGTTAATAAAAGCAGTATATGAAATAAGCTATGATGAGTGTCTTGTGCATAGAGGGGCTCCGCAGGACCCTGGTATCTCATTTAATCGCCCTATCCTTTGCAGCTTCCTCTGGCTCCCCTTCTAGGCAATTTTTTCAATAAATGGTAACTCATCCTGGCAACTTCATCCAGTTCCAACACGCCTCGAAATATTATTAGTAAAATCTGAATGCTATCTGATCTTCAGTTTGCTTCTTTCTTGTTGGTTTGATTTACATAATAGGGACAATAGTTATCGAAATATTTAACCAATATATGGTTTGTGACCACATATATCACATCCTCCTACACTGCTCAGCCGTTAGGTATTAGACGTGTGATTTACTGCAACAGGAAAATGAGGGAGGGTTCAAAGAAGCCCATGGGGTAAAAATGTAAAAGTTTATGTCATAAGGAGACTCCCATTCAACAGAGCAAGGAAGGAGCTTGCCAGAGGTAAGCTGAAAGGGACAAGAGGCACCAAGAGCAGAGCAAAAAGGTGGGATGCCAGGCTCCCTAATACTGCCTCAGTTTATTAGCAACAGGCAATGACATCAAAACATGAGAGAGCATGCAGTTGAAATTAGACAGGCTTTTCCCCTACTTACCACTAGAGATTCTAAAAGAAAATCACCTACCACAATATAGAACAGCTTCAGCAAAATAGAAATTATGTAGAGAATACTTGAGCAGAAGAGAGTCCGAGGAAGATTGCTTTGGCTCCTTGGGTTATGAAAAATACCCAAGCATTGACATTTGGTCTAGAGCCAGAGGATCTGACAAAGGGCCGCTGGCGAGGGGTGCGGAAATTCAAGGACTTGGGGCTTGAGGGATGACATGGCTGAGTCTCAGAGGACCTGCAGGAACGGAAGGTTCCAAGATGAGGCCAGGTCAGCAGATGGAGACAGCCATTCCCCTATTCATTAGCCTTGCAGAGAGACCAGAAGATGAGTGTCACCAGCTCATAGCGCAATAGCATATGCACACTGACTGGGCAAGACAAGAGAGAATTCACATAGCAGCAGGACTCTCACTTAGGCAAAGCACCCCTCATCTCAGTGAGGGCAAGGAAGCTTCCTCCTGCCTCCAGAACTCACGTTAAAATATAGAAGGGGGAAAACATGAAATGACTTACTGGGCATTAGAACTTCGAATGCAATGGCCATTACCAGTTTTAAATTTACTATTTATCTGTTTTAAATCTGAAAAAAGTAATAAATCTTCAACTGGCAAATTTGTGTTGCCCTACTATTCCCCAAGCCTTCTACCTCAGCTACTACCAAGTAAAATGGGATCTTGAAGTCAACATTGTTTTAGAAAATTTAAAATTCTCTTTTTTGCAGATGTGTGTCTAAATGTTTAAGTGTGTGAGCCAACACAAAGGATTCAATTGTCAAAAGGATCAGATTCCCACAAATCAGGGATCTTACTCATTATCAAACTTCAATCATTTTAAAGATACATGTCATCAAGAAGCACAGTAGAAGAGGGGAGATATCTGTGGCACCCGGGGCCTTTCTTTACGCATCACACGCTTGCTGTCTCGCTCAGAATAGATGAGGCCTCAAAGTGAGGTTTGTAAGTCTCTTCACACAGTGAGCAGTGTTTAAGCTATGAAACATTTTATACCAAATCTTTACAGGGCCTGTGTGACAAGACATTTCCAAGAATCCATACCTCACAAATCGAATCAGAGAAATGAGGAAAAAGACAGGAAAGGTGACTAAGAAGAAGACGTACAGATAAATATAGATCTAGATATAGATAAACACAAAGCAAAGGAAAGCTTGAGCATCTAGACTAATATTTGACAAAGTGGATTTCAGAACAAAAATTATTATATATTTACCAGTGATTAAGAAGGTTATTTCATAATAAAAAAAGGAGTTAATTTGTCAAGAGAAAATAACAATTCAAAGAGTTTATACACCTAATAATAGAGCTTAAAATACATAAAGCAAAATTCTGCAGAACTGTTAAGAGAGAAAAATAGACAAATTTACAATTAACATTAGAAATTACAATACCTGTCTCCCCAGAATATATAGAAAAGCAAACAGAAAATCAGTAAGGACAATGTTATGGGTTAAATTGTGTCCCCCTCAAAATTCACATGTTGAAGCCCTAACCCCCAATATCCAGATGTAATCTTATTTGGAAATAGAGGTATTGCGGACATAGTTAAATTAAGATGCCATCAGGGGCAGGCCCAGTGGCGCAGAGGTTAAGTGCGCACGTTCAGCTTTGGCAGCCCGGGGTTTGCCAGTTCGGATCCCAGGTGTGGACATGGCACTGCTTGGCAAAAGCCGTGTTGTGGTGGGCGTCCCACGTATAAAGTAGAGGAAGATGGGCACGGATGTTAGCTCAGGGCCAGTCCTCCTCAGCAAAAAGAGGAGGATTGGCAGCAGTTAGCTCAGGGCTAATATTCCTCAAAAACAAAAAAGCCATCATCCCAGAGTAGGATAGGCCCCTAATCCAATATGATTGGACTGACTTCTAAAAAGGAGAAATTTGGACACAAGGCAAGCACACGGGAATAATGCTATGTGAAGTTTGGAGTTCTGATGCCACAAGCCAAGGAACTACCAGAAGCTAGGAGAGAGGCCTAGAATGGGGCCTTCAGAGGAAGTATGGCTCTGCCAACACCTTGGTGTCAGACTTTCAGATCCTCAGTTTGTGGCATTTTGTTATGGAAGCCCTAGCAAACTAACACAGATAAAGAAAACTTGAACAACACTATCAACCAACTTCTGACATCTATAGAACTGACATCTGTAGAACACTCTACCCAACAGCAGCAGAATAAGCATTCTTTTTAAGTGGAAACGGAACATTTTCTAAGGTAGACCATATTTGGGGCCATAAAACCAAGGACATAGGTCATACAAAGTATGTTCTCTGACCACAATGGAATTAAATTAGAAACCAATAACAGAAAGTCTGATTATGTTTTCTTTTTCTTTTTGACACACAAATTGATTGTGTTTCAGTACTTACATATATTGTGGAATGTGATGTTCAGATGATCCTCTTGTAGATTTAAAATTATAGATTTAAAGTGAAGAATTTGGGAGAGGCCAACAAAAGGGTCTTCTATTTTTAACCCAGATAGGATCTAGGCAAAAGCCTTTATAAAGTGCAGATCATGTAAACCAGAAAATTTGGGATTAAGTTACACAAATATGCAAAGGCATATATACTCAAGTGTGCATTATTGCCTTATTTATAACCACAAAAAATAGAAACGATAGAAACATCAACATTAATTATTTTAGTGACAAAAGAAAAATGAAGGTGAAAAATAAAATGCCATCTAAATAAGCGTTAGGATGTTGATCAATTACCAGTACTATAGTTTAAATCCATCAATGGCTTACCTTATACTCCACAAAATTCTGCATTAACTGAAAAATAATCAAAACAGGTGAATGTTATAATCCAAAACAATCGATTTTTGGAAAAAGTATAAAGTTGATAAAACACTTACTAATCCCTTTAAGCGATACAATAGTAATAAAATCACTATCGTTTTACATTTACATTGGCACTCCAATTTACAAAGTGATTTCTCATAAATTACCTGATGCAAGTTTCAACATGTCCACAAAATAAACAGGATGAGGATTATTCTCACTTTTCAGAGGAAGAAATCAAGGCACAGAAATATTAAGAAAATGTAAAAGTTGGAACTAGGAATCAGTTCTCCTAAATCCTAAGTCATTAAATTACTCAAGTATGTACGATTTACAATGAACATTTTCTTTGATCTAGAAAATGAAGTTTTATATGTGAATGTAGATTGCTTTACCAACATATTTTATCATATAATTAAAAATGTATCAAAAGAAAAAAAATGTTCCAAGTTACATTTGGAAATTGAGTGACATCTACGTTGGCTATCGTGGTTCCAAAGAAAATGAGTTACAAAGCTCAAAACAAAAATCACCATGTCTGGTCTGAATGCAGGACAAATAGCCCACTAATTTTCCCTCACATGCACCTATCCAATTTTCTCTTCCATTGTTAGGGTCCCTGAATTCCATTACAGTGTAATCAATGTAATGAATGCAGAGATAAATAAATAAAATGAAGCAGGCTTTGCCTCGCAGCAGATATTTGCATTACATCTGTGAGAATTTGCTGTTATTAAATTAGCTGCAGGAGGGCTTTTTTATTGCCTCCTAAATGCAAGAGAGACATTCAAACCAAATAAAACTCCGTTTTTAACAACCAAATATTACACTAAAAAAGGTCAAGCACACCTGTTTGTAGTATTACATGCATGCATTTTGATACAGGACAACCTTTAACTTTCAATTAAAAATGTGAACAATGCTCACCCTACATTTTGACTGTTCAGGTCTCCCCACAAATAAAGAAGATATTAAAATTTCATTATACCGAAATTTGTGCAATAAAGAAAATGGTGAACTCAACAGGTTTAATGGCATACCATTCAGTTTTTCCGCCTAGTTTATGGCCTATGTTAATACCCCCATTTACCAAAACACCAGCCAAGATCCAAAAAGTAAGCCATGTATTACAGTGGAATAAAATGGAACTCTGGAGTCAGATGGAACTGATTTTGAATCCCAGCATAATCACTTGCTACCAAGGTGATTTTGAAGAAGTTGCTTAGCCTCATCTGTAAAACAGAGATAATGATAACTATTTCTTATGGTTGTACAGCTTAAATAAGAAGTGAATAAAGCATGTGGGATGGCTTCTGCACATAATAGGTACTCTGTTGTTATTATTGTTATTAAGCTGCTACTTCATAAAACTAAAATTTTACTCACAGGGGAACCATGGAGATAATAACCAAGGGCCTATTTGCTCTTGTACATATGGATCTAAATATCTTACTTTTCCTAATTCTCAGTACTAACTTTTTTATTCATTCATCCAGCAAATATTTATTAAATTCCAACTATGTGTCAGGCACTGTTTTAAACATTGGGGATACAGCAGCAAATGAAACAAGCAAAAATCTTTGCTGTGATGGACAATATAAAAGGCACAGAAGTAAAATATACAGGATGTTAAATAGTAATGAGGAATAAAGAATAAACATGCAAGAGGAAAGGGGGATAGAGAATGCTGTGGTTGGGTGTGAGGGTCCAAAGTGACTTATCGTGACTTCCATTGAGAAAGTGACACTGGAGTAAAGACATACAGGAGGTGAAGGAAGGAGCTATGTAGGATGGTCAGATTGTGGTTATATGTGAAAGCACAACCAGTAAGATTTCTTTACAGATTAGACATAGGTTGTAAGCAAATGAGAAAAATCAAAGATGACTCCAAGATTTTTTGCCTTAGCAACTAGAAGAATGCAGTTGCAATTTACTAAGTGGCTTGTCCTGATGATTAGTCTTGACTATCCTAAGACACAGTGTGGGGGAGAGGTTCTGAGTGTCAGACGGCGGTGAAGGAGGTTGGAGGTCCCTCTGGGATACTCAGAGTCCTAGAGTGCCCAGCGAGCCTCTGCTGAGACAGGTGAGCTGATTTGGAGTACATTGGCTCTCTCGTGACTTCTATGAGAAAGCAGCAAATAAAAGGGAGAAAACATCTAGCACAGGTACTGCTCCAGAGTGAAGAGAAGTGATAGCAGAGGAGGAAATACAAATTATAAAAACAATCAAATTTCAAAATATACAACAATTTGGAAGTATTCGATATAAAGGCAAATAACCCAATACACAGCATATTCCCTGAAGTCATCATAGTGTTATAGCACAGTATAACTAATATTCCTAATTATGTCCCTGAATTACCAATAAAATGGAAAATTATGGTGAGTATGCTCTTTACAAGGCAATAAGGTAGAGCTGGAATATCTTTTATATTTCCTTCTGTTCACAATAAATAATCCATCTCTCCTTCACTAGCTCCTTCCCCATTAAATATATTTTGAAAATATTTCCATCAAGAAATATTTTTAAAGTGTTGAGATTTAAAAGACTAAACTCTCAGCTACACAGAACATGTGGGTCTATACACAGACTATTACCCCAGAGGTTGTTCAGTGAGTGGACTGCAACATGACATGTCCCCAATTCACATTCTGTCTCTCAACACATGGTAACAGAACAGGTCCCCTCTACCAATATCACCCTTAAAAGAAAAATACTGGAAAGTTAGAGACAAAGAACACCACTCCTGCCTACTGGTGCTCACAGCGTAGCACCGATTTATAGCACTGAACTCGTGTTTGCGTAGTGTTTTGCAGTTTACTTGCTGCTTTCATGTGCATTCTACCATTTGGTTCACACAAACACTCTGTAAGGAGATGTAATCTCACTTTGCAAAGGCAGAAACTGTGCTTCAAGGAGTTTAAGAAACTTGTCCAAGATCATTTTGCTAATGAGTAGAGGCTGGACTGCAATTCAGGTCTCAACCTTCACAAGTGAACAACTCCTTGGACAGGGGAGGAGCAGGGAGCAATTACGTGAGTGTTTCAGAAAGGGCAACCATAACTCAGCTTTGCTCATTTGATCAGGGCAGAGAAGATGGATAAGAGAAATCAGGAGAATGAGAATATGTCCACCTCTCAAACACATGTGAGACAGAGGAAACGACCCAAACAGGCTAGGACAAATTTCCATTTTGTTTCTTTTCCTTCTGAGCAGAATGGATAAGTATATTCTAGCTCTGCAGTGGTTCTCCCTCAGGCAGTATTCATCTGAGTTTGACCTCAGAATAAGTCACTCATACAGTTGGTCCGATTTAACTTGAATCATGGTCCTAAGTCTTAATTCAGTGTGCTTATGTTGGCCAAACTGTATAAACTCTTTTCATAAACAAATTGGATACTGTCCCATTGGCCTTGTGTGGAAATTCTGTTTTCGTTTTCATTGTTCTCATATTTTATTACCTTAGTCATCTGGGCAATGTATTGATTGTGTTTAAGAGAGAATAAGATCTCCATTAAAATAAAAGATCCCTAAGTGTTATAAGCACATTCTCTCTATTCTTGTAGAGATTATCTTCCCAGATCACTTAAGTCAAGTACACTGACCTACATATCAAAAGACACATTTAAGAACCTAAGGACTCTTCTGAAAATATGAAAAAGAGATAGTTGTATATTAATGTGCATGGAGAACAAGTGGAGTTGAAATGCAAGCATTCCTGTTGCTAATGTCCCTTAAATATGCTTAGATTACTATATCATTTGTTTCTTTGCTTAGATATAGTAAGTACATGCTATATACAAAGGTTTGCCCTCATATGGTTTACAGTCTAACAGGGAAACGTATTCATATGAAGAAATATGCCATGAAATCTATAGTGTATTGTAGGAACACAAAAAATAAAATGATAAATTATATACTAGATTATAGGAAAACTCTTATCAGCAGAAATAAATTTTGATCTGGATCTTGAAAGTGTTTGCTATGTAAATTGGGAGGACCAGAAACTATTGGATGAGGGTGTTTGCAATAAAACTGCATGTGACAGGAGCCCAAAAATGTGGAATGGAGCTCACAGAAAGCTAGGGTAGGAGAAGAAGACAGACAAAGGACCATGAAAAACTCCGTGCCATAAAAATGAGCTTGGACTTCATTTTCTCAGCAATATCCTTATTACTCAGGGCAGGCTAACTGTTAGAACAACTCTCAATTTCAGTATTTTGAAAGCAATTTTATATCAATATTATAACTTATTCAATATGATGATATGTGAGTGGGTAGTAGGGTAATGTTTGCAACGGCATGGCAACCAAAACTGATTGTCAGATTTTGCTCATTGCCCTTTGTTCATTCACTTGCTTCAAGATTAACACTGTTTCTTGTGAGTCAGCTATTCAAGATGATTACATAGTTCCGAAACCTTGTTCAGTGTCCAAGTCCAATAGGTACGTATGGGAACTGAAAGATTCATTCTGCATCGGTTGGGAATACTCTGTAATAATTATTGAGCATGTAATATTCTCCAACCTCTGAGCACAGTGCTTTGTATATGTAAAATTTCATCTACAAAATACTTGTGTTAGGTAATACTATTTTTCCCACTTTTTAAAAGAAACTAACATTCAAGAAGTATAAATAGCTCATCCAGGGTCACACACCTTATGAATGGCAAATTGGAACTGGAACCCAGGGCTCACAGATAGCAACGGACATATTCATAACCATTAAACTGACTCTACGAATAATGGCAGTTCCTTCTCTCAAAGGGCATATAATTTAGTGGAGTAAATCATCAACTGCAAAATAGATAATAGGTGCACACTATGAGGGCACATTAGATCACCTGTCACAGACTTGAGCCATTGGAAAATGCATTCCATGGGACAGGACCTGCAAATAAAGGGAAAAAAGAAGTATATTTCAGCCTAAAGGACGAGAGGAATGAGAGCACGATGTCTCTATGCAAAACTCCTAAGTGGGTTCCATGGGACTACAAGGCCTGAGGGATGGCTTGAGGACCTTGCACTAAGATATATATGTTCATCCACTGTTGGAACCATTCGATTTGGGTCTTTATCAGTGCTCTACCTGGCATCAACTTAGTCCAAAAGAATACATTAAAGTTAGAGGTCAATGGCTTGTACAAATCTCAAAACTATGAGCTGCAAGGAGAACAGCTCTGGTAAAATCTGATCAGGGGAGTATACGGTTTCTAAGAGTTGAACGCACAATAAATATGTTTGTCTCTGCCTAGGGCTGTAAGTACAATTTATCCTTTAATATCTCCAGGCTTTCACCATTAGTGGTCAGGCATTTCAAGTTTATGTATGTAAAAGGGCAACTTTTGAGGGAGCCAGCCCAATTCCACCTGCAGGTGAGAAAAGGATAAAGTTTGTACGACTATCAGAAATTATTAGGTAGATTTTCAAAACTACGATTTTAAGGATTGCAGGATACATTCAGTGCTATAAAACTCTAACGAAAAGAATAGAACCCAAAACAACACAGTGCACCTATTAAGAGAAGTATATAAAATTCAACGAAATTGTCTAGGTTGCAGAGTACCAGGCTAGAAAGTATGATTCAGCACTGACTTCGGAAAGTTATTATTTTTTTAATTTAATTTAATTTTTTTTTTTAAGATTGGCACCTGGGCTAACAACTGTTGCCAATCTTTTTTTCTTTCTGCTTTATCTCCACCAACCCCCCCCCTCGCCCCCCCGTACATGGTTGTATATCTTAGTTGCAGGTCCTTCTAGTTGTGGGATGTGGGACGCTGCCTCAACGTGGCCTGGCGAGTAATCCATGTCCACGCCCAGGATCCGAACCCTGGGCCGCCACAGCAGAGTGTGCGAATTTAACCACTCGGCCACGGAGCCAGCCCCTATTTTTTAAATTTTAAATAAACCTTCAAGCCTAGGTAGTTTAGCCTCAGGAATTTGTGCCACCAGCACAACTCAACTCCCCTCACCATCACCGACCACCACCACCAATAGGAGAAAAATTGTATGATTCCCCCTATGGAGGTTGTTTTGTATGATACCCACGTGTTTGTAATCCCCTCCAACTTGACTGCTGCTTAGACAAATGAAACAGGGATTTAGCAAAAAACCACACCATAACTGAGCTCATGGAGTCTACTTTACCCTCTCTGAAATAGGGATCAAAAGCTGTGGAGTCCCAACTTACTGTTTTTTCTCACCCACTGATCCGCACATCTGATTTTTTGTTTTTTAAAAAAATCCTAACATCAAAATAGCAAAGATATAACACTTGGGACAATTTTCTCCCTTTATCGGCTGAGCTCAACTTCTCAGACTGAATTTTGGGCTGTCCTAGAAGTACCCTCCTAACTACCAGCAGTAAATTATCCTCAGTGTTCTACAGGTAAAGAGCCAAAACTTCCACAACTATCCCTTTCTCTGTTTAGTTTTATCAGTCCCAAGAAATGCACCCTGACCTGAACTGATCAGTTACAAATTAGGCTGTGTATAGAGACACAAAATAAGAGTAAAATGGGGCCAACTTGATGTGTAATCTTATCAGTCAGGGACCTGGCAAGAAACAGACGGCATTATCAATGTGGCTAAGGAAAGAGAGTTTGATAAAAGGTGAGCTGTAGGAAATCATAAGGGATAAAGCAGTATTGCAGGACTCATTATCTTTAGGCTTTATTACTTCCCAAGTGGAATTGTAACTGAGCTTCAGCAAGCCATTCCACCATTATATGATCTAGCTACTTCGGTTTTATGGGGCATATGATTAAACCAGTTAATTCTGTAGGAATTATCCCATTGCTACACTTCCTTTCTTATCAAATGAGTCCTCTAATTGGAAGCAATGTCATGAAAAACACCAAGGCAACGGCTAAGGCATCCTGTAAATACCCTAATAGTGGTGCTGGCAAAGTACAGTGGGCAAGAAATGTAAATCCATACCCATATTATAAGGACAAAGTGTTCTCCCCTTCATGATGAAAGGGATCCAATGGAATCAACCTTCCACCAGGTAACTGTCTTATACCCCAGAGAATGGTCCAGGATAGGTACACAGCAGTAGCATTTGTTGGGTCAGCCTTGGTAAGAGGAAGTCCCATGCCACTGAGTGTCTCCTTGTAAGGCAACAGACACCATCATGAATAATCTTTTTTACCAGGGTCAGGCTGGTTCTTTCAGATAAAGGAGAGATTCTGCCTAAGAGAACCAGCATTAGAGGTTCAGGGAGATTTGAGAGCTCAAGTTCTCAACCCTCTCTCTGTCTGTCCAAATGATTCTTTCCCATAATTCAGTGTCCCAGCGCTTCCCATTTATTGCTCTTACCTTAACATAATAGACCTGACAATGTTGAACATTTAACTGTGGCTGAATTTCTGTACCCGTTACAACTAGGTCCTATTCTTTGTCCTCAACTATATCTGCCTTACCACAATAGGAGATAAGGCACTCCTAAATAGCCTCTTAGGCGGTTTGATTTTTCTATGCATATTCTAAGCTTTAAAATTCTCCATTTCCCTGTATACACTCTGTAGAACCATAACTTTTATAATCACTTTTGACATCATAATGATTAACTTCACAGTTGTCTCTCAATGCCCTGCCCTCCACCTGCACCTAATCCCATGCTGCTACTATTGCTATTAAGACGATTGTGTGGCTACTGCATGCCAGTAATTATCCATGACCTATGCCCCCCAGCAAGAAGGTTCTCTTGAACTATGTGAGCAATTCACTCCCAGTACCCCTCCTACCCCATAGTTTCAATTACCATAGACAGGCCTTGGCCCAAAATAATGAAGTTTCAAATTTGTTATGTGAGAAGAATTTCATAAATGGATCTGTTTACAAAGGCTTGGACAAGGTGTAAAGAAGCCACAAAGGGTAATGCAGTATCCTGGTGCTGGTAATAATGGGCAATGTTAACATCTCCTGGCCTAAAGCAATGAGGGACAAGAGGAGTGCTGACCAGAACCCAGAAAGAGAGAGAGATTCAAAGAGAGAGACAGACAGAGAGACAGAGAGAGATTGAGAGAGAGAGAGTGCAAGAGCCCAGTGTGGAGAGGGCTACTTGAAAGGAGCTATGACTTTTAGGCGAAGGATGCATCCAATTTGTGACATGATGCCGCAGAAGGAATAGATTTTTCCTCTCTCTCTCTGACAAGTGCTCCCACTGTAACCCAAACAGAAGCCAGAGAACAGGAAACCCCGTCAATGCAGTCCATCCAATTTAGCCTCTCAGGGCACAGTGCATGGTTGAGAAGGATAGACGGTGGACCTGAATGGTCAAAAGCAAGACCCTGCACAACAAATAAAATCCCCCATTCATAAATGATTTCAATCAGACGCATAGGCCAAGCAACACACAAATTTTTTTCCCAGTCATTCCTCTCCCTAACAATATCTTCTCCAACACCTTTGACGATCCCTAAGAAGTAATTCAAGCTATGTACTCAGTGCACAAATATTAGTTGTGGTGTGCTTTATTATTAAATTCTGTGCCCTGAGTACAATTAAGAACAAAACTCATATCAGTAGACACAAAATAGTGGTAAATAAAATAAAATACTTTCATTCAGAATGATTTTTCATCTTCTAACTAAATAAAGAGATAAGCATAAAAAGAGACAAGATACTTGTATCTCACATACTTCCATAATCATTCACCATTTTTCCATTTTCTCCACATTTTTCCTTTTTTGAGTTGCCTCATTTGTAGTCTAACCATATTAAAGAAATCTTCCTTCACTATAAATAAATATAAGACCTGTTTTCAGTAAATAAAATTTATTTAAATCTGTCAGTAAAATGCAGATAATTTTGACTCCTCTCATAAAGGCATAAATTCCATCTATATAAACAGAAGAGCAGATAAACACTATGAAAAGAGAGCTGGTAGCTCAAAGTAAGATAATTCTGAAATATATTAGTCTCTGTTTAAACAAGAACACATGCATTGGAGTGTTAGTTGATTAGATCTCTTTTAAAAGTGATGTGTCCTGAAGACAATGGATAAATTATTTCTCAAAGGGAGCATTTCTCTGATTTAAACAAAGTATTGAAGTAATCCAAATTAGCATCCTGATTTTGTAACATTAACTGGATATCTACTATGTGACAGATACTGTGCTAGAAAGTAATAGTGTAGTTGGAGAAACTGATTTGTAACCAAATGCTTATAAATCCATGAAAATTAAAGAATGAGCTGTTGAACCACACTCCTAGCCCTTTACAACAATTTACTTTTTCACAACTGTGTAACTTGACTTTTGTCAGCCTTGCCTCTTTTCTTCAACTCTCCTGAGATATATTTCCTTTTTTCCTTCCAAATCATATTTTATCTTCAAAGTTCAACTCAAGCCCTGTGTGATAGAGATTGCTGGATGACCACCAAATTAATTCTTACCTTTCTGCTGGGAATATAGCTTGACCACATTTCTCTGCCTCCTTGCTGCTAGTTGGGGCTCTAAGAATGAGTACTAGCCAATGGAATGTGCGTAGAAGTAGTATGAGCCACCGCCAGGCGTAACCCACAAAAAGTCCTGCACTTACTACTTCATGCTCTTTCCTGCTACCAGGAAACTGGTATGGTGAGATCCAGATCCACTTTAGAAGCCATATTTTGAAGCTGCAGTTTCTGCCATTGGCCTGGATTCTTGACGACTTCATAGAACCAAAATCCGCCTGCCAATCAAGAAGCCCCTGGACTGTTACATGAGCAAGCAATAAGCTTCTAATATGTTGAACTGCTACATTTAGGGTTCCATTTGTTAAAGCAATTCCACTTACCCTAATCTGCCTCTTTCTTTAAGCCACTTATGGTCATTCTCATTCACACCCGTCAAGTACTTGTACATTATACCATACGTTACAACACTCATTTGTGGCCTCAGTTTT